CCGAGTCGGTGACTTTCCCCCACGTGCAGAGTGAAGTGGAGTTTCTGTCCAGGGAGCACGTGGGGGGCGGGGTTGGGATGGGGGGGGTACGTCCCTTAGGTGGTGCTCACGCGCTAATACGCTCGAAATGAACGATTGATCGACGTCTCTCAATAAACGACGACGACGCCTCCATCCGAGGGCTCCCTTGAGACGTTTGTTGATCCGAAGATGCGGCCCGAGTATGAAACCCCCCGTGATGAACCACGTTGAGCTGTCCCAGAGTTGGGGGGGGGGGGGGTTCGGGGATGGGAGGGGGGGGCGGCGGGGGGGAAATCCTCGACGCTTTTGGAGCCGCTAAAATCCTCGCGTTAAAAATGTCTCGACCCAATGAAACACAAAACGACGACCCCCATCGCCTTGCGAGACGTCGCCGTCTATTCCCGTCCCAAGAAACAGAAATAAAAAAAAAAAAAACATTCCCGGTTTTATTTTTCCAGGCGGGATATGATCAGACGTTCATTTTATTTTTTCTCGTATTAAATAAGCGTCCTGAAGCTCGTCGATTGTCGTGCAACCAACGTGTCCGTAATGAAGTCGACATCGCTTGAGGGTGCGCGTGCGGGACACGGGTGAGGCGCGTCTCGAGGGTCAAAGGTGGCGCATCTCTCGGCGCACTGCACGCCGAGAGGCCGCGCCGATCTGACTCCCGGACTCGGCTCGCGTCGGTGGCGAGCGATATGTGAACTCGTCTTGGGCCTCCCCTTGGTCGACTCGGCCTCAAGCGCGTTAACATCAGCCGTTCGCCAACGTTCACCAACCTGGTCACGTGACTCCGACGATAGACGTGTCATGCGGTGGCCTTCATCCAGCAGTGGGTTGACGGAGCGCTGTTAATTAATCGATGGACATTATTGGAGGAATACATTTTTTAATGCAGGTAACTTGGCTATCGTCACTCTGCAAAGTGTCCAGGGCAGACGCACGCAGTAAAAAAAAAAACACGTGAAGCGAGATGACATTTCGATACGACAATGATATGAAAATGTTTTCGAGAAGGGACGATGACCCGAGGTCGAGACAAACAACAGAGTGGCAGTGAAAGGACGGAGCGCGCTCGACAGAGAGAGGGAGAGAGAGAGATCATTTGTGGCACGGCTCACTTCTGAAAAAGAAGCTCATGGCTAAGTGGGCTTTACCTGGTAAAATAAAAATAAAATAAATTTCGATTTGAAGCTTTCGTGACTGCAGGAATTCGGTAAAGTCACGTAGAAGGGAAATAATAAAATAATAAAAATAAACATAATAAAATAATTCTCACGTTTCGGCCACAACGCAAGCAGCCGTCCTCAGGTGAAGAACAGGTCTGTCGGAAAGACAGCGTCCGACAGACCTGTTCTTCACCTGAGGACGGCTGCTTGCGTTGTGGCCGAAACGTCGTGAGAATTATTTTATTATGTTTTATTTTATTATTTCCCTTCTACGTGACTTTACCAAAAGACCCAAGACGAAAAATAAAATAGTTTAGCTTAATTATTATTTGTTTAATGATTTTCTCACCTTTCCAATACTTTGCACTCCCATCGTATTTTTTTATCAGTATTATTGTTGTTGTTGTAATTTTCTGACCGGCCCCTACTGGACGTCTGTGCAAAAGAGCTTTAGAGATCATCGGATTCCTCGAGTGTAAATAAATGTGCTGATTCTGACTCTGTCCACCTTTTGCCTATTGAGAGATTAGATCAGCTCGAGTGCGCAGCAGCTCGATGGATTGTTACATCGTGAGAGATTTAGATGGCTTCATCCAGAAGTGGATAGATCATGGTTCATGGCGTTTATTTGTTTTTACAATGTTTACAATGTATAAACAATTACAACCCATGGCGCGGCCATTAAGGAAGCCAACGGAGAAACCCGACTCTGGTCAAGAGCGAACGAAGCTCAATCTGGAGACCAGCATGGCCCCCAAGCCTGAGGTCAAGAGTTCAAATCCTAGCCAGGGTCAACTCGGTCCCCTCATCAATCATCCCTCCGGGGGTGGCTAAAACGAGCACCACCTTGTGAGGCTGCATCGGGAAACCTCAGGACCAGTTTCCGCGAAGAAGCTCCCCCAGCACGTGGAATGTCCGACGTTCCGTTCGTCCCACGTGGCAGGAGCTTTCAGAGACGATGCCGTAATAACGCGCGCGGGGCGACTCGAAATGCAAAATGAAAAACAAAAAACGACCACGGCTAAGGGAGAGATGCCTGGGGGAGTCTGCTCCCGCTCAGAGCGCTTGACGTGTAGAGCCCAGGAGCTGTAGCATCGACCTCCCATCGCTTCGCAGGAGATCAGCGCTGTGGGGGTGGGGGGGGTGAGGGAGGTGGGGGGGTGGTCTCGTGGAGTCCTCGTCTCGTGTTCTACATTTGGTTAGATCTTGTCCCATGGGCAACGGATGTATTGACACTCAAACTGTTGTCGACAGATGACCCCGTGGAGAACGGACGAATCATATTGTTTTGTTACATTTGTTTTAAAAGTCAGCGTCGTGAAACATCAACAACAACAACAACGACGTAAGTCCGTACCACAAATGGCAAATGAAAGAAAGAGTCGCCCTTGTCTGTTGCTCGATTGTGACTGTGATGAAAGTGCAATCTGATCGTCAGGTAGCCGACCCACTGCCCATCTTTTACTCGATCACACGCGGCAGGTACGGACGCCGTACCTGGAGCCACTCCTGGTGCGATCGTGTGCGCGTATCCCGCAGCGTAAGATGAGTGCTGGACTCAGTCAACATTTGGAAAAATGCGATTTGTAACTTTGATCATTACCTGTTCAATGTCAATGTGCGCATTGTATTGAGGGACTACTGCTGTGTTGCGTTATCTTGGTGGGGGTCTGGGACTGGTTTTCTTTTTGGTGTTTTTTGCTGCCTTACCCAATCTTGATGTAATTCGATAATTTTGTTTCGTATTTACTTTTCGTGACTTGTTTACCATTTTCTTTATTTTGCACTTCTATCGTTCTATTGTTTGCTGTTGTAACTTGCTGACCCGCCCATACTGTAAATCTGTGAAAAGAGCTTCATAGCTCATCGGATTCCTCCTACAGTCGAAGTAAAGATTCTGATTCGGAGGTAAAACCTTCAATCATTTTATTTAGCAATATGTGCAGGCGGGGGGGGGGGGGGGGGGCTTTCTCCAGACACTCTCCTTTCAGTCCCAGACACTTTAAACAAAACAAATGGAACCGGCCAAACATCCCAATGCGCAGGAACCTCTTGAAAATGAGTCTTGAGTCTCTTTGGAAGACGTGGGGTCCAACTTGTTCTCGGCGGATGTCAGTTAGATTATCGATGCGTCGCGTTTCTCTCCCATCCACTTCCCTTGCCACTCTCCATATGCGGTCCGAACGTTGACCCAAGACAGCCACGTGATGGTGATGATGATGATAATACATCTGTAGAGTCGCTACGCATCCACTGCATGGCGACTGACTCAGTGCGGAGGCGACTGCTCTTGTTCCTCTGTCGATGTGAAGGTGCCCTCATCAGCACAATTGTAATCATCATCCTCTTCATGCCGATAATAAAAAGGACCAAATCCCAAAAATGTTGACTATTATATATTTATATAGGTGACTCGACACATTCGTTAATAAAACTACCCGAAAAGGAGATATATTTTAATGTGTTTGTTGTTCAACAATTATCATCGAATTGCCATATCCGTCATCATCATCATCATCATCTATTTCCGTATCATAATCACAATATGAGTCCAGTTGTTTGTGTTATGTTAATCAGCACTGACGTCACCTTAGTTGACTGGAGGGTGGGGGGAGGGAGGGAAACGTGGCCTCGAGAGAAGTAAAACACCAGTGATTTTGTTTTTACTTCTTGTTTCACCTTTCGCAGTCACATCTCATCCTTGCAGGGGGGGGGGGGGTGGTGGGGAGTGTCCAGGAAGGCAGGACACCAGCAGGCTCAGCTTGAGGTCCACTTCCTCGCTCCCCACACGGGCAAATCACAAAGTGGTGATCCTCAAGACCCGTGGTTCTCAAGCGGGGGCGACGCGGACCCCGGGAGGTACGTGGCAATGCCCCAGCGGGGTACGTGATGTGATTCATAAACGTGTGAAAGTATAACACGCGTGAGAGTCATTGGTGAATAATACTCGCGTATGAATCTTGCCCATATAAAATGACTACGTTACAATGTAAATTCACGTTCTAAGCTAGCGCGTTATTAAAGACATTTTGTAAACTCGATGATGGTCAGCGATGTGGTTTCCTCGAGTAAACAGCGTGCGGAGGGTCCGTTAAATATGTCTGTTTTCATTCGCTTGCAGTTACCAGTTCGTTAGGATATCTCGCAAATGAGTTTAAATATTGACCTTCATTATCCATTCTTTTTTTTAATCTCAGAACCACGTGGCCGGGGGTCGGGTGGGGAGTAACTCGCTTGAAACAAAATTCAACAAGGAGGAGGGGTGGGAGGGGGGGTAACGGCAGTGGTTCTCAAAACACTTTTTTGTTGTTGAGAACCACCGCCCTCCCTAAACAAGAACACCTCAAATTACAGCCGACGGGGCTCGCCGGCGTTGCCCACCGCATGTCCACCGCGTGTCCACCGCATGTCCACCACGTGTCCACCGCTGTGTCCACCGCTGCGGCTCGAAGGGGTCCCTGTGAGCCATGAGCGTCGCGGGCTCACACGGCCCGGGTGGGGGGAGAGTTTCGGGGGGGGGGGGACAAATCTTTCCAGCTCAGACCGCACCGCTCGTCCTCTCCCCCTGGCCGCGCGTGATTTATAGCGGCACCACCGCGCGCTGTCACTCCCTGCCATTGCTATGCCAGCTGTGTATGGCTATTTTTGAGGACAGCGGGGGGTGAGGATGTAAAGTTGGGGGGTGGGGGAGGTTGTGAGATGTCACCAATTGGGGTAGAGCCGGGGGGTGCTGCTGGTGCTGGTGGTGGTGGCCTCGCGTCTCGGTCGTGCCGTGCAGAGCGTGGAGGGAACGGGGGGGGGGGGCGGTGAGGAGGAGGAGGCTACGGCTCTCACGGGCGGCTGCGGTAGTTCGCTTCGTGGAGATGGAACGAGGTGAGGTCCTGGCAAACGCCGCTCGTCCGCTCCATTCACGGCTTGGCCGCTGTTCACGACAGCAGCGGTGATCCTGTGCAGATGGGTCAGTTCGCGTTTTTGGCAGCGGTATGTAGAATGTGTTTTTTTGTTGTTCAAGCGGTTATCATCGTCGTCGTATTGATCATAATCACGATCGTAAGCTAAGTTCATCTCTGCAACTATATTGTTCAATATCATCATCCGTCTCCGTATCCATAATAATCTAGATTATATTATCATCATCATTATCATCTATATTATCCATAGCCATAATCACCCATCTCCATAATCATCCATTGATATGTCTCTACATAACCATCAACATCATCATTAGCATCTATATTATCCATAGACCATAATCATCCACCTCCATAATCATCCACTGATATGTCTCTACATAACCATCAACATCATCATTAGCATCTATATTATCCATAGACCATAATCATCCACCTCCATAATCATCCACTGATATGTCTCTACATAACCATCAACATCATCATTAGCATCTATATTATCCATAGACCATAATCATCCACCTCCATAATCATCCACTGATATGTCTCTACATAACCATCAACATCATCATTAGCATCTATATTATCCATAGACCATAATCATCCACCTCCATAATCATCCACTGATATGTCTCTACATAACCATCAACATCATCATTAGCATCTATATTATCCATAGACCATAATCATCCACCTCCATAATCATCCACTGATATGTCTCTACATAACCATCAACATCATCATTAGCATCTATATTATCCATAGACCATAATCATCCACCTCCATAATCATCCACTGATATGTCTCTACATAACCATCAACATCATCATTAGCATCTATATTATCCATAGACCATAATCATCCACCTCCATAATCATCCACTGATATGTCTCTACATAACCATCAACATCATCATTAGCATCTATATTATCCATAGACCATAATCATCCACCTCCATAATCATCCACTGATATGTCTCTACATAACCATCAACATCATCATTAGCATCTATATTATCCATAGACCATAATCATCCACCTCCATAATCATCCACTGATATGTCTCTACATAACCATCAACATCATCATTAGCATCTATATTATCCATAGACCATAATCATCCACCTCCATAATCATCCACTGATATGTCTCTACATAACCATCAACATCATCATTAGCATCTATATTATCCATAGACCATAATCATCCACCTCCATAATCATCCACTGATATGTCTCTACATAACCATCAACATCATCATTAGCATCTATATTATCCATAGACCATAATCATCCACCTCCATAATCATCCACTGATATGTCTCTACATAACCATCAACATCATCATTAGCATCTATATTATCCATAGACCATAATCATCCACCTCCATAATCATCCACTGATATGTCTCTACATAACCATCAACATCATCATTAGCATCTATATTATCCATAGACCATAATCATCCACCTCCATAATCATCCACTGATATGTCTCTACATAACCATCAACATCATCATTAGCATCTATATTATCCATAGACCATAATCATCCACCTCCATAATCATCCACTGATATGTCTCTACATAACCATCAACATCATCATTAGCATCTATATTATCCATAGACCATAATCATCCACCTCCATAATCATCCACTGATATGTCTCTACATAACCATCAACATCATCATTAGCATCTATATTATCCATAGACCATAATCATCCACCTCCATAATCATCCACTGATATGTCTCTACATAACCATCAACATCATCATTAGCATCTATATTATCCATAGACCATAATCATCCACCTCCATAATCATCCACTGATATGTCTCTACATAACCATCAACATCATCATTAGCATCTATATTATCCATAGACCATAATCATCCACCTCCATAATCATCCACTGATATGTCTCTACATAACCATCAACATCATCATTAGCATCTATATTATCCATAGACCATAATCATCCACCTCCATAATCATCCACTGATATGTCTCTACATAACCATCAACATCATCTCCATATCATTATCAACTTCCATGTTTCACTTCACCATTATCACCACCTTTTCCACATCTCTCTGTAAACACTCTTCATCATTATTATCATCATTATCCATCATCGCCATCGTGACCACGAGCATTAGCCCATGCATGTCATACCAAAATCACGCTATTTCATCACCACATTAATACTCTGCCTCTCTAACAATAAGTTAGTCCATTTAACACGTTAAGCTTTCGCGTCCAGTGTTAATCGTAGAAAAGTGTTTGTGTCAGATCGCGTAACACGATTCGTACACCCCGCAAGGCTGTCACGTGAGCAGGGCGTGCCATCCTTATCTGCCGATTGCCTGATGATGCTGGCTGCGATCACCGGCGAAACGTCGCGATCCATTGCACACGTTGCGCATTGCTCTCTTCACACGCCGGTGTGCTGAAGTCGTGAGACATTAGCAAGTTCTGTTCACGCGACAACCTCACCGGTTGTCCGTGTCGGGTGCAGATGAGGGGGGGAGGGTGGTGTGGGGGCGGACGACACATCTGCGCGATCTAACCCCAAACAGCGTGACCACGAAGTGAATGCACATTTGCGCGCGGTGGCCACCGAGGAGCGGCGTCGGTGTTGAGTTGTTGCGTAAGGAGCGGCCTCGTCACGCTACGCAAATCACGGACAACATTGTGGCGTCATCATCGTCGTCATCATCGTCGTCGATTATTTGTGTTGTTTACCGTCATTTTTGTGTTGCGCCGTTTCGTTACAAGGCAGGGCTGGTGAGAGTAGTGTGTGGTGAGTGTGTTGGGTGGTTAGCGTGATGCGTGGTGAGTGTAGTGCGTAGTGAGTGGAGTGTGTGGTGAAAGTGGTGCGTGGTGAGTGTGGTGTGGTGAGTGTGGGGCATGGTGAGTGTGGTGTGTGGTGAGCGTGGTATGTGGTGAGCATGGTGCGTGGTGAGTGGAGTGTGTGGTGAAAGTGGTGCGTGGTGAGTGTGGTGCGTGGTGAGTGTGGTGTGTGGTGAGTGTGGTGAGTGGTGAGTGTAGTGTGTGGTGAGTGTTTTTCCCGTGCAGTGTAATATTTTACAGAGGGCTTTTGTTCATAGTTTTCTGGTAAAAGACAACATATTTCTCAAAGTCAGAAGAGACTTCATGTGAATTTAAAAGATTATACTCGTCATCAAATCACCCAGAACACCCCATACAATGCAAGGTAAGCAGGAAAAAAGGGCCTGGTTGGCACTTGCATGAAGGACTCTCTGGTAATAGCAGGTCTAACGGTGGATGGGAATGCCAATTGGCCAGGACATCATTGAATCCATCTGTGTGCCGCGCTGCGTGTTGCCCCCTCGTATGCTTGGGGGTTTCTCTGGTTACTCTGGATTCCTGACACGTGGAGGCAAGCACCCATTGATGACATTGGCCAAACGTCCAAAAGCAGGAGCCACTTTCAGCCTCCATTGGACTCTTCCGGACTCGTGTTCATCGGCAGCGTTTGTTCGAACAAGCAAACTCTGGACCAGCTGCAACCTTGTGGATTCCATCAGCGCTCGGTCTATTCAACAGACACTGCCGGCTTGCCAGATGTTTGTTAGCACTGCCATCTTCAAGACGGAGCCCTCCCTGTTCGGCACAAAAGGAACGGTGTATTGGCCAAATAACGTTAACAGGGACCATCCTGAAAGAAAAATTGTCTTGAAACTCTGTGCCTCTCGTCACGAAACTCCAGCCACCGCATGCACAATCAGCGTTGTACCAGCGATTAGGTTTATTTTAGTTTCTTTCGGTCAGGTCACGTAGGTAGAAACATAAAATAAAATCAAAAATAATAATAAATCACGACGTTTCGATCGCAACACAAGCGGTCGTCCTCAGGCGGGAAATACATAATCCAACTGCTGAACCAGCGATAGAGCTGTTACAACAAGAGGTTATCATCGAGACGTCGTGATATATTATTTTTCGTTTTATTTTGTTTGTTTGTTAAGGAATCACACTTGCTGAGCACAGGTCCGAAGGCGCAAAGAGACAGGCGGGTTTAGCAACAAGCAGCAGAGTTGCAAGGAATTTAATCGAGCAAAGGGGGGTAACTCGAACTTGGGATAAGAGGAGACGATGGCAAGAGGGAAAAACCCAAAGAGTAAAGAGGGAATCCCAAAGTGGAGCAGTGCGAGGAAAGACGCAGACAGAGAAGTGTGGGTGACCTTGCAGTGTCGGTGGTGGTTGAACACAGTGCGGATTGTGTGTACGTTGTGTGCATGTTGTGTGTGTATGTACGATGAAGGACAACAAACTAAACACACACAAATACAATCAATCTGAAATTATAATTCCACTGTGACCGCATTGCATAATAAATGACGCAATCGCGATTGAAATTGACCCCAGGGTTACCAATGATTGCTCGACATTTTCTTCTGAGCTAAGATTTTTAATTTTGCTTCATGCGGTAGCGCCGAGCTCAGAGGACTCAACACGGACAAATGGAACGGACGATTGACGCGCGGCCAACTGATTCCGCTGGTCTCCCTTACGCCACCGCCAAAAAGACAAAGATCCCCCGTATAGCCTTAACAAACTGTCGGGGCAAGTGCTGTTAGCGAGCGCCTATGACGACCGGCACGGCACACGAGGGGGTCGGTAGCAACCACGCCCGGTCGCCTTTGTCTCTCCAGTGGCGATGTTTACTACACACCGTATCAGGTACTCGTTTGAGGCTGAGTCGACCTAGGGGAGGCCCAGGACCGATTCAGATAATCGTGAACGGTGTTGGTCGTGAGTGGGAATCGAACTCGGGTCGCCGGGTTCGTGCAGCACTACACTACCCACTACACTACCCACTACACTACCCACTACACTACCCACTACACTACCCACTACACTACCCACTACACTACCCACTACACTACCCACTACACTACCCACTACACTACCCACTACACTACCCACTACACTACCCACTACACTACCCACTACACTACCCACTACACTACCCACTACACTACCCACTACACTACCCACTACACTACCCACTTCACTACCCACTACACTACCCACTACACTATCCACTACATTACCGCAACCACCACCACCACCAACCACGGTTTTCTCGGCTTCTCGGTCGAAAAATCCAGACGAGGCCAGAACGCAGGAGACGAAACGCCCGTCGTTTCAAATCGTTTCCTGCTGCGGAACGGAAAGACACAAACCGATCAGAACAATGCCCCCACCCCCTCGAAACTAACAACGATGAGGGCAACAAAGGGAATGCGCTTGAAACGGATCGAGAGAACATACCGCGCCTTAAATAGACGAAGCTCTGAGCCGCCGGGCTGCTCTTCGCCGCTGCGTTACGGGGGCGTCTCGAAAAGGCAACGGTTTTTTCAGCTTGAAAAAAAATCGTTCGTTCGCTCTCGGTTGCGTAAATGTTTTTTTTTCGACTGCCGCGGAGATGGAGCGACGAGATGAGCTCGCGCACAAGATTGGGCGGCACCGCAGGACCGTGTTAGGTTGGTGGCGGCGTAGGGGCGGGAGGTCTTCAATCCAGCAGTGGATAAACAATGATGCCGATGGTGGATGGTGGCTTACGTTGAGCAGGAACAACACAGCAATACTTTTTTTTTTAGAATTATAAACAAATTGTAAAGATCAGATGCACCTTAAAAATCAAGGATGGAACGACGCCACTCCACTAGAGGGTCAATGAATTCAATCTTGATTTGAAGCTTTCGTGACTGCAGGAATCCATACTCTTTGGTTCTTTCGGTGAAGTCACGTAGTTAGAAATAAAATAAAACAAATCACGACGTTTCGAGCGCAACACAAGCGGTCGTCATCGCTGTCATCGCTTGTGTGGCGATCGAAACGCCGTGATTCGTTTTATTTGATTTCTAACTACGTGATTTCACCGGAAGAACCAAAGAGAATGGTCAATGAATTGTTACGATTTAGGGTCTGCATGTGAATGAATTTCGGGATTGTTGTTTACATTGCGGTGAATGGTAACGCCTCACCTCCAGTGGCCGTAGGCGGGTGACGTCAAGCCGTGACATGCCACGCGTCTGAGTCGAGAATCAAGATTGATATTCATGCGTAACTCGACGCATGTATCATGAACTTTTAATCACCGATATTCATTGACAAATCAATTAATCGATGCACTGTTCCGCCCATACTTAATGTGTGTACGGAAACGAAATGAATGAATAATTTTCTGAAATTTTAAGTAAATGAAAACATTTTTGTTGTAAATCTACGAAATGTGCTTCTCTTTGTAAAACACAAACGGGCGCTCCGGTATGAACCAGGTAACCCGAGTTCGTTCCCGGCCACGGCTAACATCAGTGGCAAGTGATATCGGACGGAAGCTGTTCTGTACTGCCATGCCCCCCCTCCCCACCCCTTCACCAACCTGCATTGACCAGTGTGGTGAAGTATGATGAGAACTCTCCAATGATGGACATGGTGTGGGGATTTGAGAATAGCTCGCTGTAACGTGTGAATTATGTAATTCATTTCCAAAACATGTATGTTCTGATGTATGTACATTAGCAAAATAACAACAAACTTTACATATCTACTTACGTTAAATTTCGGGCTTAAAACACATTCCTTCTATTTTACGCGTGAAGATGATCAGTCCAATCTTAAATTTGGATCTTTCGTGACTGCAGGAATTACTCTTTGGTTCTTTCGGTAAAGTCACGTATAAAGATCAAATAATAAATTAAATAATAGCATACGACGTTTCGGTTGCAACACAAGCTATTTCATTTATACCTGATGATGATTGCTTGTGTTGCAATCGAAACGTCGTATGCTATTATTTAATTTATTATTTGATCTTTATACGTGACTTTACCAAAAGAACCAAAGATGGTCAGTCCAATATATTTAATCACGTAAAAAAAATCCTCTTATTATTTTTTGTGAACGTGACTTTGTCTCTAATCGTATACGCATCCTATAGAGCTGCAACCTTCCAGCAACAACAAAACATGCGATGTGGATGGCAGCTCAATACGTCGGTCAACTAACGAAATGTTGTTGTTGTTGTTGTTGTTTGTGTTTGTTTGTTCTAAGGTTCACTGGATGTCCCCGTCCAGCGCACGCGGCGGGCTGCGCGCGCGTTTCAAGGCAGAACGTGGGCACGTTGCGTAAAATAGATTTATTTTCTAATTTAACCGAGAGATCATCGCAGCCAAACGCGCCTGATGCCACCGCATTGCACCGTCGCTTCCTTGCCCTAGATCCGCGCAACTTTTTTCGTCGTCAACGGTTGACGCGGAAAGTCGCGTCGACCAACCATCCCGTTTTGGAAACATTCAAAGGCGGCGGCGTTCAACGCAGGGGGCGTGTGCGCACCCGAGCAGACTGTCAGGATGCCCGTGAAGGCCCCCATGTACCTGAAACCCGGCCGCACGAGTAAGGGCAAGAAATCCACGAGGCTCCGGGACATCCTCTCGGGAGACATGATCAGCCCTCCGCTGGGCGACTTCCGCCACGTGGCGCACGTGGGCAGCTCGGGCGGCATGGGCGAAGGAGCCGCCGCCTTCGGAGACCTCTCGTTCCTGTGGAGCAGCGAGCGTCCCGCGTCCCACGGCGGGGACGGCGTCCTCCAGCGAGCCGAGCGACGCCACGCGGTGCCAGAGGCTCGGCGGGACCGAGACCTCGAGGCACGGGTCGCGTCGTGCCCCGGCTACCAGGCGGCACGCGGCACGACCGGCGTCGGGATCCCGTCGCCCGTGCTGAGGAACGCGTTCGTGCTGCCCTACACGGGTCCCGAGCAGGCGCTGGTGCTGCCGGGGGTGTCGCCGTTCTGCCCAGGAGGACGCGCGGGGCCGCCCCGCCGGCGCCCCGAGCCGTCGGCGGACACCGAGTGCGGCGCGGGGGACGACGCGAACGGCGAGGGCGCGTGCGGTCGCGAAGACGTCGCCGGTGCAGGGACGTCGCGATCGACGGGCGGCGGAGTCGTGCGGGCGGCGGCGGCGTCGGCGTCGAGGTCGCCGTTCCCTCTCCGGTCGGCGTCGCCTCCGCCCCTAGTGAACCGACTCGCGTGCCCCGACGCCAAGGGGCCGTGCACGAGTCCCAGCCCCAAGAGGGGGCTCCTTCGGTCCATCAGGGATCAGGTGCAAAACATCACGCTCAGCCCGCCGCTCTCCAGGAGTCGCACCTTCCAGTCGATGCACGCGACTGAGACGTCGTCTCAGGAGCCCTTGCTGTTGTCCAGCAACGACATGCACCACGAGGAGGAGGAGGAGGAGGAGGAGGGGGGCACGAGGGCTCCAGCCGGGCGTTCCGCTTCATGTCCTTCTCCGGCAACGGGTTTGCTCATCGGCGATCGACCGGCGTGACGGCTTCGAGTGGGAAGCCCCAACAACCCAAAGCCACGGCGAGGGCCGCCGCCGCCGCCGGCCAGCTCAGCCCCGGGCCCGAGTCGACGAACCCTCGCCGCCCCCCGTCCCGGGAAGGCTGCGCTCGGAACGGCTTTGCGAGCGCCGTCGACCACGAGCAACCGGGCTGCCTGTGGCCCAGAACTCCGGAGCGCGTGGCCGTCACGGAATCGATGCATTTCCTCAAAAGCCGGCAGACCCTCCACCCGCGATCCAAGCGCAGGGACTTGCTCGCCAAGAGCCGGCGGGAGAACGGCGACGAACACCGGCGGGCGACCCCCCTCGAGCCAGTCGCCGCCGCCTCCGCCGCCGCGTGCCCGTCGCTCCCCTCGGCGGACGACCCGTGGCCTGGCGCGTGGCCGGACAACTCAAAATCGCCGTTCACGCCGAGTCCCTCCGTGTCCCCACCGCCGCCGCCGCCTCAGAGGTCACAGAGAGGTGACCTCCAGGCGAGAGGCGCTGGCGGCCGTGGAGAGTGGGCGGCGTTCAGCACCCTGTCACGGACGCCGCGGTGGCCACCGGGCGAACCGCGCTGCAGCGACTCGCTGCTGTCGCTGCACACGGACCTGGGGCCGTCCATGCTGGACGAGGTCCTTGGGGTCATGGAGAGGCAGGAGGGACGCGGGCCGGGGAGGGCCTCCGCGCGGTACGCGACGCCCGACGGCACGCGGGGCAAGGCGGCGGCGGCGGCGGCGGTGGCCACCGGCGGCGGCTCGGGGCACGGAGTGAGAGGTGCTGAGAGGGACAGCGGCGTCGCCTGCGAGGCTTCGGCCAGCGCCGAGAACCTGCTCCGTCATTTCTCGCTCAAGTAGCCAACGTCGCCCAAACAAACATCCGGTGACTGCCAACGGTGCCCCCGATACACTTGAGCGTTGGTGAGAAAATTGGTTACGAAACTAAAGGTTGGAGGCAACGACACGCTCGCGTCCTCTCGTGCCACCACCATCACGATCGCCGGCCACGGTCAATCAACTGCTGGATGGAGGCTTCCTCAAGCCGTCGCCACGTCTCGCGGTCCTGCGATTCGAGTGATCACCCAATGTCCTGCAGCACGAGCCGAGTTCATCAGACACGTGCCATCATAATTGTTATAATTGCCACAACACCGTTCGATTGATTCAACAGCTACTCTCCGGCAACGGGGTTACGATGATAATGACGACGACGATGATTGATGATGGGCATTGATAACGATGATTATGATTTGGTTTTGATTCCGTCGTGACAGATATCGCGGGGAGCGCGAAGAAACCGCGAAAGAAAAGCCGTCAACGATGCCGCGTGCCAATACCTGCACGCGGAGTCATCGCGGTGCTCTGAACAAGGGCCGCGACCTGAAACGTCAGCCTATGACACAGCTCTGCGCTGTCAGGCAGCGTTAATGACGAATGCGGCGATTGGTTTATTTCCGCAGCGGCTTTTCCGTGTTGTGAGCGTTCAGGTAACGGGGCAGCCCCTGCTGTGACTGGCAGATAGACCTCCGCTCTCGAGGGCATTTTGTCCGCCATGGTCCAGACGTCTTGGAAGAGGTGGGAGTGCCCCACGCGTTACCACCACTACACGGGACCTGCCATATCGACTGTGCTTGTACCCATTTCTGCTGCCGGATGGACAGGACATGTGGAGGGAGGGGGGGGGGGCTGGGGGGGGGGGGGGTTTACAAATCTTGGCTATTGCGTTGTGAATGAAAATTCAAGCGAATTCGTGACTCACACCCCCTCTTTTCAACCAAATGCAAAGATCCCCCGTGTAGCCTTAGCAGACTGGTGGGGGCAAGTGCTGTTAGCGAGCACCTATGAAGGCCGGCACGGCACACGAGGGCGTGGGTGACCAGCGCCACGCGTGACCGCATTTGTCTCCCGAGTGGCGATGCTCACACACACCGCACCAGGTACTCATTTGAGGCTGAGTCGACCTAGGGGAGGCCCAGGAATCGATTCAGATAATCGTCACCGGTGTTGGCCGCGAGTCGGGAATCGCCGAGTGCGTATCGCAGCGTCGCGCTCGTGGTTGCACTTACCGCTCTACCCACACTGCCATCGGCACCCCCTCCCCCAAAGATCCCCCGTGTAGCCTTAACAGACTGTAGGGGCAAGTGCTGTTAGCGAGCACCTATGAAGGCCGGAACGGTACACGAGGGGGTGGGTGGCCAGCACCACGCCCGACCGCCTTTGTCTCCCCAGTGGCGATGTTTACACACCACACCAGGTACTCATTTCAGGCTCAGTCGACCTAGGGGAGGCCCAGGACCGGTTCAGAGAATCGTCACTGGTGTTAGCCGTGAGCGGGAATCAAACCCGGGTCGCTAGGTTCATAGCGCAGCGCGCTAACCGCTACACCACCGCTCCCCACCCGACACCCCTTCCACACCCCCACAGGAGACTCGCCATGAGGCTGCACGCGTCGAGACGAGAGGCGCAGTGCATTGCGCGCACGTGCGCTGCTGGGTGCAAGTGGTGGGATATTTATGCGGAATATCTTGCATGTTTTACGTGACGCGTGAAATGGAATATTTTTTAATTATTATCATTATTTAAAAATGCGCTTTTTATTCAATGCGGCAAAGTATCGTACTTTTGAGTCTTAAGGCTCATTTTTTTTTTAAAGAGAGTCCTTGCTACAATGGGAAGTTTGTCCAGTTTCTTTATTCATTGGGTGTTTTGACTTCGTACGGGAGGACCCCGGAGGAACCCGGGGAGGGGATGAGGGTGGACCCAGCAAGACGTACGAGTAAGTAGCTTAACGTGTTAAACTCCGCACATGTGGATGCATTAAATCGTCGCGCTTCTGCCATCTCGTCGACGCGAAACCGACATCGCCCGGCATTCTCTCTTCAAAATACCAACCTGCCGCCCTCATACAATCTGCCGAGATCATGCACGGTTCAGGGTAACATGGGCATGGGCTTAATTTCAGAATTGTGACTTCCAGGGCTTAGTTTATCACGGGATATGTTGCGGAACGCAGCTGGTCTGGGTTTGGAGGAGGGATTACCAGCCTAAGGCGCTGCCACTGGACCTACAAAGGTCGGCTTTTGGCTGTCATCATATACGATTGCCCCCGGAATCCCTATGATTCTATTCCCGGACCTCCGATTGGCACGGTTGGCTACGTACGGTGCGAAAGAAGTTCAACATACGTACGTACAAAGAGGATTGAAAACATAATATGTAGCAAGACAAAATAAGGATGTCGTTTTCCAAAATAAGATGAGAAGGATGTCGAGTGGCAACAATTCTCAGAGCAGCGTTCCGGATTCGTCTGGCTGAAATGAATCGCTGGTTACCAACCCCTTCCTTCACCACCATAAAACAAAAGACAAAGATCCCCCGTATAGCCCGAACATATTGTTGGGACAAGTGCTGTTGGCGAGCAGCACCTATGCAGGCCTGCACGGCACGCGAAGGGGTGAGTGGTTAGCCAGCACCACGCCCGGCCGTATTTGTCTCCCCAGTGGCGATGTTTTACACACCAGAACAAGGTACCCATTTTAGGCTGAGTCGACCTAGGGGAGGTCCACGACCTGTTCAGCGCGCGACCCCTCACCACCATCACCACCACCATCAATACCAACAACCACCATTCGCCACAAAGTGACGGCGACGTCACCACGGCGCCTGTGCCAGGCCAGGTGCACTTCGAGGCCACGTGAAGTGTCGGAGGCTCGCTGACAGCAGCAGGTCTTGGGACAGAACCAGGTGCTGACTGAGATGACCGGTAGATGCACCAAAGGTGGCCAACAACACGCTCGGCCGCCTTTGTCTCTCTAGTGGCGATGTCTTTACGCACCGCACCAGGTAATCATTTGAGGCTGAGTCGACCTAGGGGAAGCCCAGGATCGGTTCAGATAATCATCACTGGTGTTGGTCGTGACCGGGAATCGAACACGGGTTGCCAGGTTCGTAGCGCAGCGTTGTGCTAACCACTACACTACCGCTCCCCACACACAGACACACGCACACAGAAACACACGAGCACACAGCCACACGCGCGCACACACATCTCTCTCACTCTGTCCTGACATCTCACGGTTTACTCAGCTCTGATTAATTTTCTCCTGTCAAGTCACCGCGGCCTGAGGCCATCTGCGAGCTCCGAACCACCATCCATCCTCCTCCCGTCGCCACCACCGTCTTCCCGCGACCCCTTCCCTCCCCCGCCTCCCCCTCGGGATTAACCGCGAGACATCTCCAATCACCGCCGTTGATTTCCTCAATCCAAGCGAGCCTCCTCCATGTTAAGCACATTAGCCCGTGATGCTGCTGCTCGGTTGACAGCGGTATACTCGTAAAAAAATAAATAAAAAAAACATCGTCAATAACAGTGCCTGAAAGGAACAATGCATAACGTTGTGCGCAATAGCCCTTCTTCATCGCGAAATAAAAAAGGGTCATTACCTGGAACGTCACCTATTAGATGGATGTTTTTTCCTTTACGACAGCGTAATCGACGACTGCTTTGTTTTTCGCCATCACGACCAACAGCCGTGTTCGAGCCACTGCTGGGCGACGAAGGCCTGCCCAGACTCGGTTTCATTCTCTCGCGGCCGTGCGATGCAAGGCTCCACGATCGGTGTTGTACGGAAGCGTAAGCACCTGCGACAAGCGGCGTGTGTGTGTGTGGTGAGTGCCATTCAAACGGAAGTGTTCATTCTCAGAGCTGGATGGAACAAGCCAGATTGCATCTCAACCCAAATGCAATGCAATGTGTCGTTGTGCGTGTCGTCATTGGCGACCGGATTGAGACGATCAACTCCCTAAACTTGGCTTGGTTGTCACTGAACTATGGATCTGAATCCAGGATCTCGGCGATGCTCGCTCATCCTCTCTGTGACCCCCGGAGCGAAGCCGTCACATCTCTTCCTGCTCGAGGAACGTGAACACGTCTCTTCTCGGTGGGCGATGTTGAGAACCCGGTTTTTATGAATCATTGGCGGCTGGAACCCGGATTCCAACCCATGTCCTCAGTCAGCGGGGCACTCTGTGAGCACCCCGCCAACCGGCCACCATCTCCTCCTTAAGGAATTCAGAAATATTCACTTTTCACGATGGGGGTTTTTGAAAAATGTGTTTTGTTTTGAATGCGA